AGGAGGCTGGCTGCACAGTGGGGTGCCTCTGGGCACCGAACTGGGGATGCTGGGCTTACTGATCCAAGGAAGTGGAGCAGGGTGCCTTTGCACTGGGCTGAAGCTCACCGGAGGGCGGTGCTTCTGTGCACTTCGTTCAGGGACTGGGTGTGCTGGCTTATGAAGCTTAAGCTGCATGGATTGAGGCTTCCCATGAAATTGTATGACGCTTTGGGCATTTATCAACAAACATGAAGCAATTATGTAACCTGCCCTAATAAGCAACTTTCCTAAACATTTCTCAGTGGCATTTCAACTTGTTAACTTCCTTAATAAACCCTTGAATCACCAATTTTGTCTGAGTTCTGTGTAGCCATTGCAATGTGTATTACAGCCAGGGAGGTAAACTTGAGAATATTAATAAAGACAGCAGAGCATGAGCCCAAAATAAAGCCATAGAGAAACCTATACTTTTTAACAGACTGATGACAAACGATGGCCATTCAGAGGAAGGTAAAGGCACACCTGGCCGGGCTTTGCAGGAAAATGCTGGAGAGAAAGAGGTTGAAAGCAAGATGTATCTACTTTATGATATATGGCAGAGTTTTACTCATGTCTCAAAGGCAAGAACATTTTCCTTGGAGCAGAGAAGAACTATAAATAGACTAGTCTACCAGGAACATACTGCACAAATGGCAACACAGTCTCAGGTGTCACTACGGAAGTACCCAGAACCCGGGACATACCTCAGCTGATAAATTATTTAGGCCAGTCAGCTGTCGACCAGCACCAATGCTTATAGGTTCAGGACGAGTCTGGTTTGTAAGTCAGTTGACAGACAGTGCCATCTGTCTCCGCAGTAGTCAATGCATGATGCACTCATGACACAGCATGTTCTGAGTAGTGGTTGCTTGTTTCGGTCAAATTGGCTCCAAATCATGCATAGTTCATGTGTACCAGATTGAACCACTGCCTGGGCCTGCGTCATCTTCGTTATATTGTTGATGTCTGTGTCCATTTTTAACCATCATTGTTGACACAGAATCCGCATAGCAGACAATTCAATAATTGAATCATACTAAAAAGAGTTGTGCAATCATCATCACAATCTATTTTAGACCATTTTCTTCTTTCTGGTACTCATTACTATTAGCTCCCAAAGTCCCCTACCTTAACCTTAAGAATCTATTAATCCAATGACTGTCTCTATTGAATTGCCTCTCTTGGATTTCAAAAGCAGAAAAATGGACCCAAAAAATAAAAAACCAAAACAATATGATAACCCAACAACGATAACAAAATAAAACAGAGAAAAACCGCAATACAAAAGTAAAGCAGGAAATATTAAAAACTAGAAACATTTTAAATGGTTCAAAAGGGAGAATAAATGAAAAGATGTTAAATTTTAACTTAACTACAGCTGCATTAATCCCCTTCCTAAATCACTCTATCTGATAGCAAAACAATGGTCAAAGGGGATTCACCAGAAGGTTAATCATATGGGGACCTTGCTAATAAATTTTGAGCTTTCACTGACATGCCTAGCCTTTTGTACATGGGGTGCTCATATTTTAATAAATTCTGTTAAAAATTTAATACTGTTATTAAATCTGGTCTTTGTTTTCATTATTTATAATTCTTGAATCACTTATGAGGGAGCACCCAAAAAACCCCGGAATTGCACTGGGCAGAGCAGAGATCTTAGAAGGCATTTTTCCTACTGGGAAAGCATCTAGCAACTTGCTATGAGTTAGTGCACCCAGTGGGGTCACCTGGAAAGGTTCTCTCTGGTCACAGTGAATTTTTTCATAGAAATATTTTTGCTCCAATGTCATTTTATTTTATGTGATGGCTGAGTTAAGAGAACAGGGTGCAGCTGTGAAACTTTGTTTCCTGCTTAGGAAAAGTGCCACAGAAACTGTTGTGATGTTGGACACAGCTTCCAGGGACAACACTATGGGAAAATCTCAAGTGTAAGAGTGGTTTTCTCATTTCAAAAAAGGTGAAATGTTCATGGATGACAAACCTCGTTTTGGACATCTGTCAACTTCCTGAACAGACAAAAATGTCTACGCATAGTGCCTTTGGAGTTCATTCCACCAAATCCGACTGTTAATCAAGTTTCTTTTCCTAAAAGACTGTGTAACAGTGTGTGGCAAAAAAAAGGCCTGATTTGTGACAGACAGGGGACTTGTTTAGCCACCACGACAATGCACCTGTACACACAGCCATCTCAGTGCCCCAGTTATTGGCAAAAGCAGCATGCCTTCTTGCCCCATGCACCTGACTCACCTGACCTCACTCAGTGCCACTTTTTGTTTCTGAGCACGAAGAGCGACATGAAAGGACAGGGATTGGAACACAGAGAAGAGAAGAGGTGAAGAAAAAAAAGGAGGGAGGTGCTTGCTGTCAGTCATCCAAAGTGATGAGTTTGAAAAGTGTTTCCAAGAATGGAATCTGAGATTTGACAAATGCATTAATTGTAATTGAGACTACTTTAAAAGTGATAAGGTTGTTTTGTAAGAAAATTAAATACATAGCTTTGAAAATATATTCCACTGGGGGGGTGTTCACCCTAGTAAACTGTTGTGCTCTTTTGTGGACTAGCTGACATCTCATTCAGTTGGCTGCTTGTTGAAAAGACACGCCTTTAAGACTCGAAACACAATTCTTTCTGATAGCCAGGGACCATCTGACATCTTCCCTTTGAGATAGCATTCATATCTGTAGTGGTCGCTTCCTGAGGACAAGTATTGAGTGGGGTCACATCAAAAGAACTAACTTGTATACATAAATTCATCAAACAATAAAAGAAACAGCAAAGTGACTGACAAATCTTTCCTATATATTTTAAGCATTTGGCTTACTGCTTGTCTTTATGTTACACCCAAAATTTTCACTGTTAATTTCTCATTAGTGGGAATATTAGGAGCAAATGTTGAGAAACCATAAAAGTTGAAAATAAAATAATTCATCTTTTATAGAATTTTAAATATTTGCACTGCTACATTATCTGGTAATTTTAAAAAGGGAATTGCCACCTAAAAAGGAATATTCAGTGATTTGAAATCCATCTTATGACTTAGAAATAACGTAATGTGGCCAGAACAGCGCTTGGTATTTAGCCATAATAGTTCTATAAGGGATAGTGTTACTATTTCTGTTTTGCATAGGAGGTTGCTAGACTTAAAGAACTTTGTCGCAAGCTATTTAGTAACAAAATTGGCAGGCAAATTCATATACCTTCAAAATTTATAAGCTGTCCCCAAATAGCAGTTTCTTTGGAACAAAGTAATTTTGTATAGTAGAAGAAAAGCCTATCATCCGTTTCAGACAAAATCATACAGCATCATTTTATTGACAATGTTCACAGGCATTTCTATATGAATAAACATTTGAAACACCTTCTCCGTTGTTGATGCTATAGCACTTTAAAGACACTATTAATCGGTGGTTTGTTTGCCCAACCTGAAACATTTATAAGATTTCTGTTCCTTCTTCGTTTTTTTTCTTCCCATTGAAGCTTCTTTAATGATTTCATGGATGCTGAAGTAACTCCATAGGGATAGCTCAAGGCAGGCCTTGGAGCTCAGCAGTACTGCATGGTATAATGAGAAATACTGCAGAACACATTTTGATTTTTAATTTCATATCTGCTTTCTAACATATAAATTACCACCAAATACAATGAGCTAAAATGATGACAGTGATAGAACATCATTTCATATTTATTGTATTGTTGCTAGGAATAATTGTACAATTTATTACCTCAGTTTAATGCAGTTCATCACATAGACATGCATCAAATTGTTCAGAGATCAAAGTTGTTAACTGAGGTGTGAAGACAGAAGACTTGGGGCCTTTGAGTTAGAACGTTGATGACACTGAGTAAAAATGGACACGTCCAATGAGGTAGTTCTGCTGTTGTTCTTGTTAGCGACTGTCTAATCTGTTTGTCTCCTCTGACTGCACAGCACAAGGAAAGACTGCCTGTTCCCACACTGTCCTCACAGTCGCTGCTATGTTTGAAGTCATTGTTGTACCTGCTGCGTCAATCCATTCCATTGAGAGTATGCCCCTTTTTGTTGACCCTCTATTTTATCAAACATGATATCCTCCTGAAAACATGTCCTAACCTTGTAAGACCAACCTGTCCTAATTATGTAAGACAAAGTCTCAGCATCATGATGTCTAAGGAGCAGTCTCATTGCATGTCTTCCAAACCAGATGTATTTCTTTTACTGGCAGTCTACTGTATAAGCAGTATTCTAACTCCAGAGGCAGCAATTGTTCTGCTGTCTCCAGATTCATTTTCTAGCTTTTGAATGCTTGTGAGCATTGAAAAGTATCATGGCATTTTTGCCAATGAACACATTAAAGAGATCTTTTGCAACGGATGTGCCCAATGGAATGCATACACATTTCTTGTTTCCATGAACATTGTTGGCCCAGTTGTAAGGATTTTTGTTTTAATTATATTGAGGTATAATCCATACTAAAGGATAACGTCCATTATCATTAAGTGCTTTAAGTACTCTTCACTTGAAATAAACAAAATGTCATCATCAGCATATTGCCGGTTATTAACGAGTTTCCCTCCAATCCTCATGCTGCCTTCTCTTCAAATAGTCCAGTCGTTCAGTTTAAATATTAAGTAAGGGTGGTGAAAGGACAACACCCAGATGCACACATTTCCTGATTTGAACAACAGATTCTTCTGGTGTTTTTTTTCTGTCACAAGCTCTTAATAACAACTTTCTTTGTAGAATAATGGGGGTGGGGAGGTACAGATCATTGTTTTAGCTTCAAAACCAATTCCCAAAATCACTCAGTAAGAAAAGTGAATAATGTTCCACCGGAAGCCGTTCACTCTTTATTTTACAAATAATTGTAGGCAGAGGCTTATGGGCACATTCTCCTTTATAAAAATAAGGTTTGTCTTTTATGACAAGTACATTTCCATAACTTTAAATGATTATTTTTTTATATTTGAAAGTTTTTTTAAGAATCCACAGGAGTTGTTACCCTTCTGCATTCTGTTTTTCCAAAAGCACTTTTTGGGAGGGGTTTCTGTTCTGGATTCTTTTTCTTTTCTTTTCAGAAGAAGAAGATGGTTTTGTATCTTGTGTTTTTTTCTTTTTCTTCAGACAGCTAAGAGGATTGGGGCCACTGACGTTTTTGCGCTTTCTCGTCCTCTGCTCAGGCTTCTTGGCTAGCCCCTGCTCTCCTTTGAGTTGCTGGATGCTCTGCTTCTCATGTCCGGAGACAAGCTGACCTGCCTCAACCACTTTAACAAAGGCGATGGTTTTAGGAGAAGGTTTGTGCAGAACTATCATGTTCTGTATAATGACCAGGAGAGGAATTCCAGGTCTTTTCTTGATTTTCACTGACAAATTTTGGTCCTGTGTTGCCACAAAATAATGATGAGGATTGCCTTCACCAACCATGGAAAGCAGGCATTCTGATCCACTCAATGCATTCTTGAAATGGGGACAATGTCGAACTTGGCATTTCTGTGCAATCAATTTTGCCCCATATAATTCCTTTCCCAGCGTTTCTAACTCCTTTAGCACACACATCACAGGGTCAACTTGCCCCTAAGTTTTCCCAGGCTACATCTGTCTGCAGTGACTCTGGGTAGATGTGAACCGACTTTTCAATGAACAGCCCAGTGTGTAATCATTGCACCACCAGGTCTCCTTTACTCATGGGTAATGGCATTATGAGCCATTTTCTCTTTTATTCTGTAATTCTGGTGGTACACAGCTGTGTCTCGGCCATGAGGTAGCGGGGCAGCTGCTCCCGCAGCTGGATGCGGCCCCGCAGTGCCGCCTGACAGAAGGTGCCTTTGAGCAACAGCTGGTAGGGCTCGCGAAATCCGAAATTGTTGTGGAAGAAGCCAAGATGCTTCTTGGCGTGTTTCTGCCTCGTGATCTTCATGTCTGCCTAACAGATTATTCTTAAAGAAATCAATTTATATTGTTGTATTTTTTAAATTGAAATGGGATTGTAATGGAAGAGCTATCACTTAACAGTAAATATGCATTTATGATCTTTAAAAAAAACTACTATAAGGTCTTGAACTAGAGTGATGATAATTTTAGAGATAGTTGATTTTTGTGATATAAATTCAATATTTTTGCTTGAATATATAATTTGCTAATGGTAGTCATACAGGATATTTGTTCAGTGGTCATTATATTTTAAGTTCTTAAAATAAAAGCAAGTAAATCTATCAGAAAAAACTGTTTTAATCACTTCTTATTCACTGATGCTCTGATATCTTCTCAGAAAATGTTTAGTCACAGCTTATAAAATTATTGGGAAATACAGATTGGTGTTGGATGTATATATATAAAATTTGAAACTACTTTTGTAATATCACTTATTATCTTTCTATCAAAAAACTTGACAGTGAAGGTGGGGGAGGATCCCTGGCCCTGGCACAATATTGTCGATGTGAATTGGTACTCCTTCATCATGAGAAAGTTAAATGAATATATTACTAGGAATTGGATTCTGAACTACAATTATAAAGGTATAATGCCAAAATGAAAAAGAAAACAAAACAAAAATTAGAATTATGTTCATATCCTTTCTTTACAGTTTACTAAAGCTGTGCTGAGAAAGAATAATAGATTTGTTTTTTAACTGGGAAAAATAATATCTTCATAGGATAATGGTGAGGATTAGAATAAAATATGGAGAGCACATAATGCAGTGTCTCTCATGTAATGAACATAGATTTTCACCATATATTTCTCAAAAAAACTATCCAAAATGAGACTGTATGTAAGTGATTACTTTGATCTTTTATTCATTTAGCAGGGAGCCCTGGTAGTAGTGGCCTGCGGTTCAAAACCACCAGTAGCCCTGAGGGAGAAAGATAGGGTTTTCTACTCCTATAAATAGTTACAGTCTTCCAAACCCACCAAGAGTCAGCATTTACTTCTTGGCAGAAAGTTTGGGGAATAATTATCTTCAGTCTCACCTTGAACCCTTGCCCCTAAATATGTGACCTCCCAGAGTGTGTTTATTTAACAGACAAGCAAGGATTGGAGTTATCTTCAGAGCAACTGGTAAACTTAGGTATGTTATAAGATGATTTACATTTCAGAGTTTTGAAGTTTAATTCTCATAGCAGTCCTGTAAGGTAGGTCTGGTTTTGTGTTTTACAAATAAGAAAAAATGATGTCCAACCGAATATCTTCCTTAGGGGTACATAGTGGTTAAGTTTGGATTCAAAATCAGGTTTGTTTTACACAATACTTCTTGGATGTTTCTCAGATACTGGGAATAAAGTGCATGGTTTCTCTTTTTCCTAATAGAGGTGACTATGTTATGAATTTGTTTTCTGCCATTTTTATTCTTAAGTTTTGTGTAAGATATTTATATGAGTATTTATAATTAATAAAGATAATATTTACATACTCTTTTCATTACGAAAAGTGTCTATATCATAGCTGCTTACTTAATAGCAAAACATGTTAACATATTTTGCTATTCAGTCTGCTCAGCTAAAACATTCAAAACAGAAATGAGAGTACAGCCTGGACCCCTCAGGTCAAACTGGCAGCGCATTGCCTCCCACTGTGCCCAGTTGATCACGCACTCTCTTTTTGCCTGCAGGGATGACTTGTCAAGCACGCACATCCTACACTGAAGATGAAGTTCTTTGGGGTCATCGCTTTTTTCCTGTAATTTCTTTAGAAGAAGGATTCTTTAAAGTCGATTACTCCCAATTCCATGCTACATTTGAAGTTCCCACTCCCCCTTACAGTGTGAAAGAACAGGAAGAAATGCTCCTCATGTCATCGCCTTTAATCGCACCAGCCATAACTAATAGCAAAGAGAGGCATAACTCCGTGGAATGCTTAGATGGGCTAGATGACATCACCACGAAGCTTCCGTCTAAGTTGCAGAAAATGACTGGAAGAGAAGACTTTCCAAAAAAACTCTTGAGAATGAGCTCTACAACTTCAGAAAAAGCCTACAGCTTGGGGGATTTGCCTATGAAACTTCAACGAATAAGTTCAGTGCCAGGCAACTCCGAAGAAAAACTGGTGTCTAAGACAACCAAGATGTTGTCTGATCCTATGAGCCAGTCTATGGCTGATTTGCCACCGAAGCTTCAGAAGATGGCTGGAGGGGCTGCCAGGATGGAAGGGAATCTTCCAGCCAAACTAAGGAAAATGAACTCGGATCGATTCACATAACAAAACACCTTCTTAGGCATTATTTAAGGTTTGATTTCGTAACAGTCCGATATTTGGCTGAAGGAGTAATCCTCCCTAAGGAATATGAAGGTACACTCCCCTCCCCCACTTCTCTGCATATTTAAGAACCTTTCCTTCCCAGCGTGGCTACTGGACAAGGAGCAAAAGTTACAGAGGGAGGATATGCTGAGGGAGCTCTTACTAACGGGCATGTATTAGCACATCAAGCATGCAATAATGTGCAGATTTTGCATTTAGTTTTATGGCATGATTTATATATGGCATATTTATATTGTGTATTCTGAAAACATACATATATATATATATTCTCCCCAGCATTTCTAACTTATATATTAAGCCAAACATGACTGGTTAGCTTTCAGGGCGATATAACTTTATATATACTTATATATGTATATATACATGTATATATACATATATACACACACACAAATTGATTGTGATGTTTTGTTCAAAATTGTAGTATTGTGCATGTTTATTAGAGTACAAGGCTTCTGGCATTAATCAAATATTAATACCAAATATCTCAGCCTTAAATTATTTGTCATTTTAGAATCTAATTTACTGTTTTCTGCTGTTTAAGTCACAAAAGGTTTTAAATTGTATTTTATATGAAGGAGTCTCACAAGTTTGTACTATTTATGACCCTGCAAAATATACATAACCACTATATATTTAACATGTAAATTTTAGAAATAACCAGTACACAGTATACCAACAAAAATTTCTTATAATTTGCAAGTACTAGGGAAAAATTAAAAATTGATTAATTTGAGAATTGGTCATTTTCTGGGTTAATTAACACCTGTTCTAGATACAAGCGAACATGACTGTGAGTTCTGAACAAGTACTGAATCATGATCATAGTAGCTGATATGTCTTGAAAACAACAGAATCCGTGTGAAGTTATGCAACTTAGAGTCTTTGTTTCCAACTGAGCTATTTAAAAATATGTTACCTTTTTTGTGGATTTCTTGTCATTTTAAAAACCAATATGTTAGCCCTAAGGAGTTGTGAGAATACGATGAAAACAGGTGATAAATATGTATGCTTAACAGATGTACGTCTAAATAAGCTTCTTTATGTACACTGCTCTCTGACTGATGGCATTTGTTGTAGAGACGTTGATGTGTTTCCTCGCCTAGAGAACCTATTCCATGCCAGCCACTGAAAGCTAGAAAGAATGTATTGTTCAGCAATGGGAGAGTTTAATATTAGGTGCATTGAATATACCTTGCACATTATTTTTTTGATACTCACCAATTTTATTGATGTCTTGGATTCCTGTTTTACCCAAATAATTTTAATGTTTGTTTTTTTGGATTTGTTTTGTTTTTCTGTGTTTTTGTGTCTGATAATTGAGGTTAATTAGCAGAAATCATAATTACTTTTCAGTAGAACACCTATAAAATAGAATGCCAAATTTTTATTAACATTCAGAAGAGCTCTCAGAACATCATGAGTTTTTCTATGAAACATCTTTGGTCATAGCAATACAACGTCTGCCCAGAATTAATGAACTTCCTCTCGTCGATGTAAAAATCCTGAATGGTTAGGGCTTCCATCATGTCCCCTTTTATAGAAATCCTGTGATGATTTTCTTATTGGCAAATTACTACATCAAAAATTGTGTCATTGACTAGCATCATACTTTCTGGCTACCTCTGTATCAAACAAATTCTGTAGGTGCAAACATACAACAGGGCATTGTTACTGGGGAGATGGTCAACCTTGAGACTCCACCCACTGTGAACAGAGCAAGTTGCCCTATTCCTTTACTCTCCCAAACTTTCTTATTTTCTGGATGGAGGAAATAAAATACTGGCAGGGTGAGAAGAGGGTTCCTTGGGCATATGTTTGCAGTGGAGGAAATCATGAAGATCCTTCAGTATAAACTGTTTTTTAGTCCAAATTTAAATAGAGCCATATTTTACTTGGAAGGGTGAGATTAAAAATTGCCTTTGGTACCAAGGAAGAGCTAGCATCATAAGCAAACTCTCCAAATGTATTCATCCATGAAACAAAACTATTGTGTACTTTTTATGTCTCGGTATTTACTTCCTGGGGATTTAGACATGATTAAAAAGGAGAAGCTCACTGCTTACCACGACAACTGCAATCCAGTAGGGGAGGAGGGAAAGGCCATTGAGGAGAAGGACAATATAAAAAAAAAAAAAATTTCCAACCTGTGTGATCACGGGGTGTCGAACGGATCACTGAAGACAAATGGGTGCATAAGCAAATGTGG